CTGTGTGGTGAGTCTATGGGTCTCTGTGTGGTGAGGCTATGGGTCTCTGTGTGATGAGTCTATGGGTCTCTCTGTGGTGTCTCTATGTGTCTCTGTGTATCTCTATATGTGTCTCTGTGTTCTATGTGTGTCTATGGGTCTTTATGGGTCTCTATGTGTCTCTGTGTCTCTTGTGTATCTCTATGTGTCTCTGTGTATCTCTATGTGTCTCTATGGGTCTCTGATTGTCTATGGGTGTCTATGGGTCTCTTTGTGTCTCTACGTATCTCTATGTGTCTCTATGTGTATCTGTGTATCTCAATGTGTCTCTGTGTTTATCTTGGTCTTTATGGGTCTCTATGTGTCTCTGTGGGTTGTCTATGGGTCTCTATGGGCTCTCTGTGTCTCTATGTGTCTCTGTGTTTCTGTTGGTCTCTATGGGTCTCTATGTGTCCTATGTGTCTGTGTTTCTATTGGTGTCTATGGGGTGTCTATGGGTCTCTCTATGGGACTCTATGTGTCTCTGTATCTCTACGTATCTCTATGTGTCTCTGTGTATCTCTATGTGTCTCTATGGGTTTCTGTGTGTCTATGGGTCACTGTGGGTCTCTATGGCTCTTTATGAGTCTCTGGATCTGTGTGGATCTCTATGAGTCTCTGTGAGTCTGTGTGGGTATCTGTGAGTCTCTATGGGTGTCTATGAGTCTATTATGAGTCTCTATAGGTGTCTATGAGTCTCTATGATATCAGCCACTTGGTGTGAGCTGCTCTGGCTGCGTGTAATGGGCCAGGTAGCGCTGTGTCTGAACAGAGATTTACACAGCCAGTAGCATCAGCCTTAAGGGGTCACTTACACCTGGTCACATCAACATAGTTGTTAGTGTTAGTGTGGGTCTCTGTGGGTCTCTGTGGGTTCTCTGTGGGTCTCTGTGGGTCTCTGTGGGTCTCTGTGGGTCTCTGTGGGTCTCTGTGGGTCTCTGTGGGTCTCAATGGGTCTCTGTGGTTCTCTGTGGGTCTCTGTGGGTTTCTATGGGTGTCTATGAGTCGCTGAATCTATGTGGGTCTGTGTGGGTCTCTGTGGGTCTCTATGGATCTATATGAGTCTCTGGATCTGTGTGGATCTCTATGAGTCTCTGGATCTCTTTGGGTCTGTGTGAGTCTCTGTGGGTCTCTATGGGTGTCTATGAGTCTCTATGATATAACCCACTTGGTGTGAGCTGCTCTGGCTGCGTGTGATGGGCCAGGTAGCGCTGTGTCTGAACAGAGATTTACACAGCCAGTAGCATCAGCCTTAAGGGGTCACTTACACCTGGTCACATCAACATAGTTGTAGTGTTAGTGTGGGTCTCTGTGGGTCTCTGTGGGTCTCAATGGGTCTCTGTGGGTGTCTATGGGTCTCTGTAGGTCTCAATGAGTCTCTATGGGTCTCTGTGAGTCTCTATGGTGTCTATATAATTCTCTGGATCTGTGTGGATCTCTATGGGTCTCTGGATCTGGTGGGTCTGTGTGGGTCTCTGTGGGTGTCTTTGGGTCTATGTGATTCTCTGATCTGTGTGGATCTCTATGAGTCTGTGTGTGGGATCTCCTATGGGTGTCTATGTGTGTCTAAGTCTCTATGATATAATCCCACTTGGTGTGAGCTGCTCTGCTGCGTGTGATGGTCACAGGTAGCGCTGTGTCTGAACAGAGATTTACACAGCCAGTAGCATCAGCCTTTCAGGGTCACTTACACCTGGTCACATCAACATAGTTGTAGTGTTAGTGTGGGTCTCTGTGGGTCTATATGAGTCTCTGGATTATCTGTGGGTCTCTGTGGGTCTCTGTGAGTCTCTTTGGGTCTCTGTGAGTCTCTGTGGGTCTCTATGGGTCTCTGTGGGTCTCGATGGGTCTATATGATTCTCTGGATCTGTGTAGATCTCTATGGGTCTCTGGATCTGTGTGGGTCTGTGTGGGTCTCTGTGGGTCTCTGTGGGTCTCTATGGGTCTCTGTGGGTCTCAATGGGTCTCTGTGGGTGTCTATGGGTCTCTGTGGGTCTCAATGGAGTCTCTATGGGTCTCTGTGGGTCTCTATGGGTGTCTATGGGTGTCTATGAGTCTCTATGATATGATCCACTTGTTGTGAGCTGCTCTGGCTGCGTGTGATGGGCCAGGTAGCGCTGTGTCTGAACAGAGATTTACACAGCCAGTAGCATCAGCATTCAGGGGTCACTTACACCTGGTCACATCAACATAGTTGTAGTGTTAGTGTGGGTCTCTGTGGGTCTCTATGGGTCTATATGAGTCTCTGGATTATCTGTGGGTCTCTGTGGGTCTCTGTGAGTCTCTTTGGGTCTCTATGAGTCTCTGGGTCTCTGTGAGTCTCTGTGGGTCTCTGTGGGTCTCTACGAGTCTCTATGAGTCTGTGCGTCTCTGTGTGAGTCTGTGTGGGTCTCTATGGGTCTATATGAGTCTCTGGATCTGTGTGGATCTCTATGAGTCTCTGGATCTCTGTGAGACTCTATGGGTGTCTATGGGTGTCTATGGGTGTCTATGATATAATCCACTTGGTATGAGCTGCTGTGGCTGCGTGTGATGGGCCAGGTAGCGCTGTGTCTGAACAGAGATTTACACAGCCAGTAGCATCAGCCTTCAGGGGTCACTTACACCTGGTCACATCAACATAGTTGTAGTGTTAGTGTGGGTCTCTGTGTGGGTCTCTGTGGGTCTCTGTGGGTCTCTGTGGGTCTGTATGGGTGTCTATGGGTCTCTGTGTGGTGATGAGTCTATGGGTCTCTGTGGTGAGTCTATGGGTCTGTGTCTAGGGAGGTCTATGGGTCTATGTGTGGTGAGTCTATGGGTCTCTGCGTGGTGAGTCTGTGGGTCTCTGCGTGGTGTGAGTCTATGGGTCTCTGCGTGGTGAGTCTATGGGTCTCTGCGTGGTGAGTCTGTGGGTCTCTGCGTGATGAGTCTATGGGTCCTCTGCGTGGTGAGTCTATGGGTCTCTGTGTGGTGAGTCTATATGTATCTGCGTGGTGAGTCTAGGGGTCTCTGTGTGGTGAATTAGGGGTATCTGTGTGATGAGTCTATGGGTCTCTGTGTGATGAGTCTATGGGTCTGTGTGTAGTGAGTCTATGGGTCTCTGTGTGGTGAGTCTATGGGTCTCTGTGTGGTGAGTCTATGGGTTCTCTGTGTGATGGGTCTATGGGTCACTGTGTGATGGGTCGATGGGTCTCTGTGTGGTGAGTCTATGGGTCTCTGTGTGATGGGTCTATGGGTCACTGTGTGATGGGTCGATGGGTCTCTGTGTGGTGAGTCTATGGGTCTCTGTGTGGTGAGTCTATGGGTCTCTGTGTGATGGGTCTATGGGTCTATGTGTGGTGAGTCTATGGGTCTCTGTGTGCTGAGTCTATGGGTCTCTGTGTGGTGAGTCTATGGGTCTCTGTGTGATGAGTCTGTGGGTCTCTGTGTGATGAGTCTAGGGGTCTCTGTGTGGTGAGTCTATGGGTCTCTGTGTGATGAGTCTGTGGGTCTCTGTGTGATGAGTCTAGGGGTATCTGTTGTGGTGAGTCTATGGGTCTCTGTGTGGTGATGAGTCTATGGGTCTCTGTGTGGTGGTGAGTCTATGGGTCTTTGTGTGGTGGTGAGTCTATGGGTCTTTGTGTGGTGATGAGTCTATGGGTCTCTGTGTGATGAGTCTATGGGTCTCTGTGTGTAGTCTATGGGTCTCTGTGTGGTGGTGAGCCTATGGGTCTCTTTGTGATGAGTCTATGGGTCTCTGTGTGGTGCATACCAGGCGAGGTAGTTAACATCTCTCCATTGTCAGGATCGAACCCCATGACCTCCTGTAGACCAGGCGAGGTAGTTAACATCTCCCCATTGTCAGGATCGAACCCCACGACCTCCTGTAGACCAGGCGAGGTAGTCAACATCTCCCCATTGTCAGGATCGAACCCACGACCTCCTGTACACCAGGCGAGGTACTCAACATCTCCCCATTGTCAGGATCGAACCCACGACCTCCTGTATACCAGGCGAGGTAGTCAACATCTCCCCATTGTCAGGATGGAACCCACGACCTCCTGTAGTCCAGGTGAGGTAGTCAACATCTCACCATTGTCAGGATGGTACCCACGACCTCCTGTATACTAGGCGAATTAGTCAACATCTCCCCATTGTCACGATCGAGCCCACGACCTCCTGTTGACCAGGCAAGTTAGTCAACATCTCCCCATTGTCAGGATCGAACCCACGACCTCCTGTATACCAGGCGAGGTAGTCAACATCTCTCCATTGTCAGGATGTGAAACCCACGACCTCCTGTAGACCAGGCGAGGTAGTCAACATCTCCCAATTGTCAGGATCGAACCCACGACCTCCTGTATACCAGGCGAGGTAGTCAACATCTCTCCATTGTCAGGATCGAACCTCAACCTCCTGTAGACCAGGCGAGGTAGTCAACATCTCCCCATTGTCAGGATCGAACACACGACCTCCTGTAGACCAGGCGAGGTAGTCAACATCTCTCTAGCCGTGCGTGAGAGGCTGCTCCATACCCACAAACCCACCAATCCACCCACCCAATCCACCCACCCACTCACTCATCCCTCACTCACCCACTGACCAACACACCCACCAACCCTGCAACCCACCCACCCAGCCACTAACCCTGCCAACCCACCCACTCACCCACCAATCCACCACCCACCAACCCCACCAATCCACCCACCAACCAACCCACCCACCAACCCACCCACCAGTCCACCCACCCACCAATCCACCCACTCACTCACACACCCCTCACTCACCCACCGACCAACCCACACACCCACCCATACACCCACCCACTGACCCACCAACCAACCCACCCACCAACCCACCCACCAACCCACTCACCCACCCACGAACCTACCAACCCACCCACCAACCCACTCACCCACCAACCCACCCACCAACCCACCCACCAACGCACCAACCACCCACCCACCAAGCCACCCACCCACCTAACCCACCCACCTAACCCCCGCTCCTCCTACTCCCTGCAGACTCTCTGTGTCTCTCTCTCTCTCGGCAATGCTGGCTGCTTGAACGAAGAGAAATGCGAACCACCACCCACCGCCACCACCGCCTCAGCCGCCACCACCGCCTCAAGCCGCCACCACCACCACCAGCCGTGCCAGCGGCCTGGCGCTGGATGGTGGCAGCGCCAGGCTGCTGGTGGTGGTGGTCGCTCTCCTGCTGGGACTGCCCGCACGTGGAGACGCCCTCCACGTGTTCCCCAAGTGAGTGTGGGTGGGGTGGGTGGAGGTGGTGGTGGGTGGGGGTGGTGGTGGGTGGTGGTGGAGTGTGGTGGTGGAGGTGGTGGTGGAGGTGGGGTTGGTGGTGGTGGTGGTGAAGGTGGTGGGTTTTGGTGGTGGTGGTGGTGGAGGTGTGTGGAGGTGGTGGTGGTGGAGGTGGTGGGATTGTGGTGGTGGTGGTGGAGGTGGTGGAGGTGGTGGGGTTGGTGGTGGTGGAGGTGGTGGTGGAGGTGGTGGTGGTGTTGGTGGTGGGGTTGGTGGTGGGGTTGGTGGTGGAGATGGTGGGGTTGGTGGTGGTGGAGGTGGTGGTGGAGGTGGTGGGGTTGGTGGTGGTGGGGTGGTGGAGGTGGTGGTGGTGGAGGTGGGTGGGGTTGGTGGTGGTGGAGTTGGTGGTGGTGGAGGTGGTGGAGGTGGTGGTGTTGGAGGTGGAGGTGGGGTTGGTGGACACCCACTTTACTTCAGGAAGAGGAATCTGGATGCGTGTAAACCTCTCGGCCACACCGGGGGGCAAATCCGAGAAGCTACAAAGCGCTTTATCCGCACACTCACCACCTTGGCTGCTCCGTGCGGTGCCTAGGCAAGCTGGCGACTGACACAACTCCACCGCTCTGTTACAACAGCGGCGTCTCCCTCCCTCTCTCTCTCTCTGTGTGTGGTGTTTTGTGATGATGGTGATGGGAATCTCTCACTCCCTCTCCCTCCTCTCCTCCCCCCTGACCTCTCACCCCCCCCGCCCCCACCCCCCACCCCCCACAGATGATCCTGGCCCACACCACTCAGCTCGCCCGGTCCTTCTGTTCCGAAGGCGACCCCCTCTACCTGCCATGCCACGAGGTTTCAACGCTCTCCACAACCTCCTCCACCTCCACAACCTCCTCAACCTCCTCCTAGCTCCTCCAGCTCCTCCAGCTCCTCCGGCTCCCCACGCCACTCCCGGCGTGGTACAAAGATGGGCGGCAGTTACCCCCGTCCTCCTACTCCACTCATCCACTCACCTCCTCCTCCTCCACCTCCTCCTCCACCTCCTCCCCTCCTCCTCCGCCTCGTCGTCAGAGCGAGGTCTCCGCATCGCGTCGGTGACTCGGCCGACGCGGGCGTCTACAGCTTGCCAGGCGGAAGGGATGGAGAGCCTCTACTACGCAGTGACTGTGTCGGTGGGTGGTGTGGTGGGTGGTGGTGGGTGGTGGGGTGGGTCGGGTGGTGGTTGGTGGTGGGTGGTTGGGTGGGGGTTGTGGTGGTGGTGGGTGGGTGGGTGGGGGGTGGTGGTGCTGGTGTGAATATGGTGGTGGTGGTGGTGATGGTGGTGGTGGTGTGATGGTGGTGGTGGTGATGTGTGGTGGTGGTGGGTGGGTGGGTGGGGGGTGGTGCTGGTGTGAATATGGTGATGGTGGTGATGGTGGTGGTGGTGGTGATGGTGGAGATGGTGGTGGTGATGGTGATGGTGGTGGTGATGGTGGTGATGGTGATGGTGGTGATGGTGGTGGTGATGGTGATGGTGGTGGTGGTGATGGAGTCCTCGTTGGTGCCGGGGTGGGTACGGCAGCGCTGTCGTGGGCAGTGCCGTGGGGGGGAGTGGCCAATTCCGATTGGCCACTCCCCTCATGGCGTCTGTGACCACCACAGGGGCTAAACGGGGGCTCTGGATGGGTACGAGGGGCTGGTAACCGCTCCAACCTTCAATTAATTTACATGAAACCACGAATTAAATATCTAATTCATAAGCTTGTGCCGGAGGCCCCGGGGGACAGGCGTCCTATGACGTCTCCTGACCAAACTCCAATTGGCGGAGCCGGGAGATTGAATCTCTACCCTCGGGGCTCCTCCAGAAACAACGAAAAGCCACTTCGTGTGGCCACGTGGAATGAACTTCGAACGCTCACTGCAGAGGAGAGGCTGCCCACTCCTCTGTCGGGAGCTGGACCGGTACCGCCTGGATCTCTGTGGTATTCAGGAGGTCCGGTGGACCGGTTCTGGCTCCTGCCACCATGAGGGGTGGAAAAGTCCTCTACTCGGGGCAGCAGACTGCCAAACAACAGGGTGTGGCTCTTCTTTTGAACAAAAGAATGAAGGGGGCGTGGGAGCGTGGCGGTGAGGTGTGGGAAGCGGTAAGCCCCAGGCTACTTTGGGCTCGCCTTCCCATCAACCGGAGGCGGGGAGTGGTGGTCATGGTTACTTATGCCCCCACCAAAAATGAACATCCGTGGAGGAATGCAGGCAGAGTCGATGAGTCAGATGCCTTCTATGACCTCCTGTCACAGGTGCTGGCTAAAGTGGCCCCTCGGGATAGAGGCATCCTGTTGGGTGACTTCAATGCCCGAGTTGGTCATGATGCTGGCACCTGGTCTGGAGTGATTGGAGGGCATGGGTCAGATCAGCTCAATAACAACGGTAGGAGGCTGCTGGATTTTTGTGCAGCCCCTGGGCTTGTAATTACCAACACGCTGTTCCGGCATCGGCACATCCACACAACATCATGGATGCATGCCGGGTCCAAGCAAAAACATCTGCTGGACTATGTAGTGACGGAACAGCGGATCCAGGCCCATGTCCTTGACACCAGGACCTACCGTGGAGCTGATCTGCCCACTGACCATTGACTAGTCATCTGTAAGATGCGCCTGCCATTCTTCCACTCCGGTGGTGGATGTACACCCAGGACCCCATTCAAACCCAAGGTGGCCTGGTCTCAGCTAGCTGATGAAAGTTTCAAGAGAGAATTTCATCATCGCTTGCGGCTGGGATTGGCATCGTCCCCCACTCCTCCAGATGTCGAGGGGAAATGGGCGAGGTTTAGGACTGTGACTCATGCAGCTGCAATGGCTGCTTTGGGTACACGGTCCAGACCTCCCCAGAGACCTGGCTGACAGAGGAGGTGTTCAGGCTGGCTGAGAAAAAGCGACAGGCCCACTGTCATCGGCTACAGCATCCCACGTCAGGGAATGAGGAGGCTTACCACAGCCTTCGCTCAGAGGTTCGGAGAGCCGTGAGGCGCTGCAAGGATCGGTGGTGATCGCAGGTTGCTGAGGAGATGGAGTCTGCCTCAGTGGCCCGCGATCACAAATCTCTATTTAACTCCATCAAAAAAGTAACCTGCAGCGCCACACCTATTACTATCATTAGGGGAAAAAACGATGATCCAATCTCCGACCCCCAGGAACAGGTTTGCAGATTTGCTGAGCATTTCGGTGATGTCCTGGGGGAGGGAAAATCCCTCAGTCAGGAAAACATCGTGGCACAAAGTGGGGATGACCCTGCTGGGGGTTCGGTGTCTCAATTAATGGAAGAAGTCACCCCCTGTGAGTGGCTGGCCGAGGTGCCATCTGTTGAGGAAGTACTAAAGGCGATCCAGAATCTGAGTACAGGAAAGGCACCGGGCAGAGATGATCTCCCAAGCGAAATGCTGAGAGAGGGTGGCATTTGTGCACAGACTGCCCTATATGACATCGTAACAACAGTCTGGACCACTGGACGGGTTCCGCAGGATTGGAAGGATGCCCTGGTAGTCCCCCTCTTTAAGAAGGGGGACCGCACAGACTGTAACAACTACAAGGGGCATCTCAGTCCTCATTGTGCTGGGAAAGGTCCTGGCAAGGATTATTCAACATCGCCTTGCCAGGCACGCTGAGGAGAGGCTTGCGGAGCCCCAATGCGATTTCAGGAAAGGGCGGTCCTGCACAGATGCCATATTTTCTGTCCGTCTGTTACAGTAGAGGTGTAGGGAATTCCAACAAGACCTACATCTCTGCTTTATTGACCTGGTCAAGGCCTATGATACCATCGGTAAGCCTGGGCTCTGGGTTGTTCTTCGTGCTTTTGGAGTCCCTGACCCTCTGCTCACGATCATTAAGGACCTTCATGATTGTGAGCGGGCCCGGGTAAAGCTACGTGGCCGGGAGTCGGATCCATTCCCTGTTTACCTTGCACTGCGACAGGGATGTCCTCTGGCTCCCACATTATTCAACATCTATTTTAACCACGTAGTTCGTGAAGCCTTCAATAGCTGTACCGGGGGAATCTCCATATGGTACAGATATATTGGGAGGCTGATCGATGCCCGGGTGCGGTCAAGGGATGGCTCCCTATTGCTCAACAGAGGGCGGAGGAGCGACGCTCACAACAACGAGCGGAGCGCCGGGTGGCTAAAGCACAGCGGATTGGCACAGTAGGGGGCACAGGTGGTGCATCAGCCAGTCATCTCAGTCAGTCGACCCGTGGCACCTGGGTCTGCCCCGTGACCTCCTGCCAGCGGGCGTTCGACACTTCACGTGGCCTCAAGGTGCACATGGCCTGGCACAAGCGTCGTGGTGACGTCTACCGCCACTTAGTGGCGAATGGCGGTTGTTGATGGTGGTGGTCATGGCGGTGATGATGGTGGTGGTGATGGTGGTGGTGGTGATGATGGTGGTGGTCATGGTGGTGATGGTGATGGTGGTGATGGTGATGGTGGTGATAGTGATGGTGGTGGTGATGGTGATGGTAGTGGTCATGGTGGTGATGGTGGTGGTGATGGTGATGGTGGTGATGGTGATGGTGGTGATGGTGGTGATGGTGGTGGTGGTGATGGTGATGGTGGTGATGGTGGTGGTCATGGTGATGGTCATGGTGGTGATGATGGTGGTGGTGGTCATGGTGGTGATGGTGGTGGTCATGGTGGTGGTGGTGGTGGTGGTCATGGTGGTGGTCATTGTGGTGGTGATGGTGGTGGTGATGATGGTGGTGGTGGTCATGGTGGTGATGGTGATGGTGGTGATGGTGGTGGTTCAAACCTGTGTCTCTCCCCCCTCCCCCTACCCCCTCTCCCCTCGCCTCCCCCCCACAGAGCCCGTGCCCTCGTTGGGTGACGACGAGGAGGAGGAGGAAGGCACCAGGGAGCACCTCGACCCCAACGAGATCCGTGAGATTCACTCGGGGGGGGGGCAGGGGGGAGGGGAGTGGAGTGGGGGGTCAAATGTACCCCGTCTCATTTTGCTGTTGGCATAGTCAACAGGGTGCTAGAGGCTACCTGGGGGAGCTTTGTCTGTGTCTCAGCACTTGTCCCCTACTAGAGGCTACCTGGGGGAGCTTTGTCTGTGTCTCAGCACTTGCCCCTACAGCCCTGCCAGAGGCTACCTGGGGGAGCTTTGTCTGTGTCTCAGCACTTGCCCCTGCAGCCCTGCTAGAGGCTACCTGGGGGAGCTTTGTCTGTGTCTCAGCACTTGTCCCCTACAGCCCTGCTAGAGGCTACCTGGGGGAGCTTTGTCTGTGTCTCAGCACTTGCCCCTACAGCCCTGCTAGAGGCTACCTGGGGGAGCTTTGTCTGTGTGGTTGGGGGGAGGGGGGAGTGGGGGAGGGGAGGAGAGTGTGGGGGGGATGGAGGGAAGGGTGGGGGAGGGGTGGGGGGAAGGGGGGGGGAGGGGTGATGGCGTAGGGGGTTGTGGTGAAGATCTTTATCTGTCGCTTGGAGTTTGACGAATGGTGATGGAGAGAGGTCAGTCAATACGTCTGTCTCTGTCTGTCTCTGTGTGTCTCTGTGTCTGTCTCTCTCTCTGTCTCTCTGTGTCTCTGTGTCTGTCTCTGTGTCTCTCTGTCTGTGTCTCTGTGTCTCTCTCTCTCTGTCTCTGTCTCTGTCTGTGTCTGTGTGTCTCTCTGTCTCTGTCTCTCTGTCTCTCTTTTTTTTTAACGATCAGAAGAATCAAGAAGATGCTCGGTGTAGTCGGCTCTTTGCTCCGTTCATCATTTCGGTTTTGTTTTAATGCTTTGCTTTATGTAACCCCCCCCTTTTAAATGAAAGACCCAAAAAAAAATATTTTTGATTTCCCCTTCCCTCTCTCTCTACCCCCCTCTCCGCCCCCCCCCCCTTCTCTCTCTCTACCCCCCTCTCTTCCTACTCCATTTGGCTCCCTCTCTCTCGCTCCCTCTCTTTCTCTTTTTTCTTCATAACTACGACTAGCGCTGCATCTGCACGCAGCCCCTTCCCGCGGTCAAACGGCCTCCGACGGGGTAGCTCGCAATCTGCACACGCGACACACACACACACACAGAGAGAGAGAGAGAGAAGCTCTCCACCGTCACCTGCACACCGAGCACTCGGCCCTCCACCAGCGCCCACCGCTCCTCGAAGGCCGGCACTAGGGGCGCGTGGGTCGGCCGTGGCCGAAGAGCAACGTCGACCTGCAACCCTGAAGACGTTGGGCTCCGTCGCCCTTCGGGTATCCGAAGATGAGGACCGTCGGAGGGGAGAAGCGGAGAAGCGGAGAAGCTGGAGAAGCTGGAGGCTGAATATTAGGAGGATGTTTCTCAGGACCTTGAACGCAGCCGGCGAGTTCCAGGCTCCCGGGCTCCGCGTATCGGCGCGTCACCGTCTCCGCTTGACCGCAGAAGCGGCACTCCGGGGACGTGTCGGTGAAGCGCGCCCTGGGGAGACGTCGGCGGCGACGGTGGCCGTGGGCGACGCTCCGGCCGAGGGTCGCCGACGCGGTCGCACGTCGGTCCGCGGTGGAGTTGCCTCCGGCGAGGCCTCTCCGGGGAGACGCAGGGCTTAGGGGGGACTCTCCTCCAGGCGTGGTCCTTGTGGCTCCTCCTCAGGGGTTGTGTCCTGTTGGTGGAACCGGACCACGTAGGAGTAGAGCACCTTCCTGCTCTTGACGTTCGCGAAGGCCATCCTCCGGTAGGTCTTCCAGCCGGCAAAGGTCGCGATCCGCCTTCGTTTGCCGGCACTGGCGATGCAGCGGCACGACGGAGAGCTCCGGTTGGAGGGGGATCGGGAGGGGCCTCGTCATCCCCGACGCCGATGGGGGGTTGGGGGGGGGGGCGTTCTCCCCATCGCTGCCGCTGAGGAGGCCCCCCTTGGCTTCGGCCAGGATCCGGGCAGCCACCCGGAGCGGCTGCAGCCCCCCACTGCCTTTGCGAGCCACCGGCCTCCGTGTTTCAGGCTCCACCAGATCTCTACCGTCCTGGTGAGCCGCGCGTTGGCGAGGCGCCTCTCCATGCCAGGGGTGGCGGTGGTGGTGGCGGATGGCAGCTTTGTCTGCGGTGTTCCCGAGGATCGGTTCGAAGACCAGATCCTCGGCCGATCGCGGCCGGTTCAGCCTCCGGACGGCGAGGGAGCGTCCGCGTCCGCAGGACGCTCCCGGTAGAAGGGTGGCGGCTGTCTCAGTGGGGAGGCCCTGTGGCTCCACGTAGAATAGTTGCTTGGAGCACCGCAGACCCCCCCCTCCCCCCCTCAGCTGTTTCAGGAGGAAGGAGGCCCTGACGCTCCAGGCCGGTGCCGGGGCTGCGGTGTGGTGCAGGAGCTTCTGCGGTGCCTGCGGTCGCAAAGGTGGCCAGCCGACCCCGGCACGCACGCACCGGCCCGTGACCGCCCCCTTGTCCCGCGGCAGGGCCAGGACCCCGAGCCGAGACCTCGGGTGTCCTCCGTCCGACCGGAAGAAGTCGAGGACTCGCTTCTTGAAGCTCGTTGACGAGGCTCATGGAGGGGGAGGAGGTGGTGTACAGGGAGAGGAGTCGGTGCCACAGCACGGACGCGTCACCGGCTGGTTCCACCGCCGACGTTCTTCGTCCTGAAGGCGAGGAACTTGCACGGGCGCGACCGCGGGTGGCCAGCCGCTCCTTTCGCTCTTTTTCCCTCCGGCTCGGCCCGGTTCCATCCGCGGTGGTTCCTCCTCCTCCGGTCCGAGGAACTCTCCGCCAGGTGGCCCGGCAGCGATGTTGCGACTCCGATTCGACGGCTTTTGCCTTCTGGGGACGCCCAGTCACGTCCCCGCGCTCCAACCCGGCGATGCCCCCGCTGCACTTTCGCCAAAGTTCGTTTTTGACGAGGAGGCTTTCGAAGAGGACCTCCTGGCGCTCGTGCGGCGGGGGCGACGTCAGCCAGGGAGCGCAGGATGACGAGGAGGAGGAGGAGGAGGAGGAGGAGGAGGAGGACGAGGACGAGGAGGAGGAGGAGGAGGAGGCCGTCGGGACCAACCTGACGCTTGGTTTCCCTCAGCACCGTGCCGCCGAGTCTCCGCCTTGCGAGACTCTCAGGAAAGGCTCTGATGCCAGGGCATGAAGTTGGCCCCGACAATTGGGCATCCCCGTCTCACTCCTCGCTCGAATTTGACCGGGGGAGGCGGTGAGGGGGCGGCCGTTGATCTTGATCACAACACTCAGCCTCGTTGTAGAGCAGGCGGATCGTTCGGACAAAAGGCATCGCCAAAACCCAGGGTCTTGAGGGTTTTCTCAGCAGGTACCCTTGTGGTGGTCCACTCTGTCCAAAAAAAAAAGCCTTCTCCTGGTCAAGAGGCGGAAACGCTATCGGGATGCCCCAACCTCTGGGACACCACCGCGATGAGGCCCCTGGCCAGGAGGATGCCATCGTGGATGGGGGCTCGTCCGGGGGATGGTGCAGGACCGGGTCCCCGTGGACGACTTGAGCAATCGAAACCTTTCAGTCGCAGGGGGAGAGAGAGAGAGAGAGAGTTGAACACGTAGTAGGCTTTCGCGACCAATATTATTCACAATAAAGGTTTTTTTTGGGTTAGATCGCGTTTATTTATAAATGTGTCGTAACCCTCCACCACCCGACACGGCCAAAAAAACCCCTTTATTATGAAGAGAGAGAGAGAGAGAGCCTTCGTCAATATTTCGTAGTAGTCTGTGTTCAGGAGGGGAGACCGGGCGCCAGTTTTGTAGGTGCCTCAGGTTCTCCGGCCTCCTCCAAGACTG